TTGCTTTTTGTAAATGTGACGTGATTTGTCGAGTTGAATTTGGATTTTGCATCTGTTATTCCAGATTTGAGTTTTTGATTGCATGGCGAATATTATTATTATTATTATTATTATTATTATTATTATTATTATTATTATTATTATTATTATTATTCCTATATGCTACAGTGTAATCACGCTCTAATTCTAAGACTAATTAAAATTACATATTATTCTTATTCTTATTTAAAATTGCTACAGTGTAGTCATATTCTACGCGTGAAGAGAGCTAGATTAAATAACTACACGTATTAATATTAATTATTGAGCGATTCAGTAATTATAGACAGATATTTCGTAACTGACAGGTTACGTGTGGCAACGCGTGAGTTTATTAGACTTTTGATCGCTCTGGTTTTAAGCCGACTCGATATATTAGCTATTTAGATAGTCGGTTGCTGAAAAAAATGCAAAACAATGTCACCACCTAAATGGAAATATTAACGTTTTAGTACAGAGCACGAAAGTTAATTATGTTTTGTTATACCATACTATCATTACGAAATGCATCAAATGGCGAGTTTTTAATATTCAATAAAGAAGAGAATAAGTTAGCTTTTTTTGCTTATTGGGACATTTTTTGTTTTTCTCTTGTTTTTGGAAAAAAAAAGTTTCACGAGCTTTTCTTATGCAAAGGAAGTACATTTGGTTTGCCACCTTAAAATTTTCGGATATTAACGTTAACAAATCGCTTCTTACCTTAATTTATAAACGTGCATAAAAACGTTCCTTATATTGTTTGAACTTCGAAGTCAACTTAAGATTTACGACTTATCGTTATATGATTAGGTTAATACATCTATGCATTCATAATTTCGGAATTATATTATGACAGAATATAATTTCAAAGGAATAATCCTCACGATATATACGTCACGTGGTAAAAAATTAGTACCCTAGCCATGGCAAAACAAAATGAAAAAAGACAAAAAATGCGAAAAATACAAAAAACAGATATTTAAATCTAGCTTGGCGCACTATCAAAAAATGTCGGGAAGACAATTTTATATATAAGCTTGATCTCAGCTCTAACCCTAACCCTAACCCTAATACTTGATATCCAATATTAATCGGATATTTTAATGGACCTATTCTCAGATCACGTGACAGTCACTTTGTTTTGCCATGGCTAGGATACTAGTAAAAAAATAAAGAATGGTTAAAGCGTAGTCCATCACGTGATATATCTTAAAAATATTAAAAGGTAATTTCAACGTTAGGGTTAGGGTTGGGAAGGAGATCAAAGTTATATTTTAATTAGTGCTCCAAGAAAGATTTAAAGTATTTTTTCATTTTTTGTCTTTACTTCAAATTTGTTTTGCCGGGTTGATTAAAAATTTATGAATCCTCATTGGTTTGTTTTTCGGACAGATTATCGGATGGACTACGCTTTAACCGATCACAAAAATAGGCATATATTTACATTGTTGATCTTTGTCCGATTTTCTTATCAAATATGTCGGATTCAAATGTTCTTGAAAAGTTTTACAAGTATGTCGATGAAAACCAGGATCATTATATTCAAAGGCTGAGAGAAGCTGTAGCTATTCCAAGGTGAAGAAAATAAATAATAAATATATTGCTAGTTTGGCAAATTGTAAACGTGAAATTATAATAAAAACAAATTTATATGAATGCAATTGTTTTCATTCAATTATTGTTAATCGATTGAATAATTAATATACTATAATTGATTATTTGATTTCAAGCGTAAGCTGTGATGCTTCGTATCGCAAGGATGTATTCCGCATGGGAGATTGGTTAATTGGAATATTTAAAAAGCTTGGGATTGAGTGTGTATAAAATTTTAATGTTTGAATATCAGCGTTTCATGATAGAATTTCATTAATTCGTAATGAATTTATAAAGCTATAACGTCGAAGATGTAGGCACCCATGAATTGGATGGTCAGACTCTTGAGTTACCTAATATACTTTTAGGCAGCTATGGTAACGATCCAAACAAAAAAACTATTTTAGTATATGGACATTATGATGTGCAACCTGTAAGTGATTCTTTGGTATAACTTAGATGAATTTATAAAGATTGACTAATAATATGTTTCTCCGAAGGCTCTCAAAGAAGACGGATGGAACACTGATCCTTGGGAGTTAGTTGAAGACTCGCAAGGTCGTCTTTTTGCTCGTGGATCTACTGATGATAAGGGTCCAATTATTGGTTGGTTGAATGTGATTGAAGCATATCAGAAATTGGGCTTAGAATTTCCGGTTAATCTCAAAATATGCTTTGAAGGTGATAGAAATTTCTGTAACTTTATGATTCAAGTACAAGAATCAATATTAAATATTAGAAATTAATTTTAAATTTATGAAGGAATGGAAGAGAGTGGATCTGAGGGATTAGATGATTTGATTATACGTGAGGCTAAAAGATATTTCAAAGATGTGGATTGCGTCACTATCTCTGATAATTATTGGTTAGGCACTACAAAACCATGTTTAACTTATGGCTTACGTATGTATTTTTTATTAATGAAATTCAACTACTGGGTTCATATGCGAAATAATAATTTCTCCAACTCTGAAAATTATGGAAAAAGGTGGTGTTTCATATTTCAAACTTGTGATTTCTGGTCCCGGACGAGATCTTCATTCAGGCGTGTTTGGTGGAACTGTTCACGAACCAATGACCGATCTGGCCCATCTATTCAGTAAACTGGTAAGACCGGATGGGCATATTCTAATTCCTGGAATTTATGATGATGTGGTCGAGTTAGATGGTTAGTTTGGCCTAAATTATAAAATGGCGTGTTTTAAAATATGGAAACATTTATATGATTCTGATAATTTTTTATTGAAACACGTGATAGAAACGGAAAGGAATACATACAAAACCATTAGCTTTAAACATCAAGAACTACATGACGCTATTGATTCCGATAATTCGATTCATGAAAATGAGCTGGACACATTGATGCACCGGTTGGTAACAAAATCATTTTTTACTGTTCAATTACAAAATTCGATTTGACTGTCCAATTTGCAAAATTTATATAAAAACTCGTTAGCTGGCGACATCCCTCGCTTTCATTGCATGGACTTGAAGGTGCATTTTCCGCGCCAGGTGCAAAAACCGTAATTCCCGCAAAAGTTACCGGAAAATTTTCAATCCGGACCGTGCCACATATGAATCCTGATCAAGTTACAAAATTGACAACTGATTATTTGGAAAAAGAGTTTGCCAAACTGTCCAGTAAAAATAAAATGAAGGTGGAGTGTATACATGCCGGTAAACCATGGTTGTCCAGTACTGACCATTGGAATTACGGTTCGTGTGATTTTTCTAATTTCAATCGATCAAAGATTTCTTCGGCTTTATCGAATTACATTTAATTTTGTCTTTTATGCATCAAGTCGCGGCTGCTAAGGCGGTCGAAAAGGTGTTTCATGTCAAACCCGATTTGACACGAGAAGGTGGTTCCATACCAGTCACATTAACTTTTCAAGAAGCGTTAGGAGGCAAAAATGTTCTGCTTTTGCCGATGGGACGTGGGGTCAGTTGAGAAGATATTTAAAGTTTTCAAATCCATCCTGTATCATTATGTCACAACAAAAAAGTATTATGATTCTACTAACCAAAGGAATCTTTTATCTTCTTTAAATTCCATCTAAATTCTATGCTTTAGGATGATGTAAGTTTATTTGCTTTTCGATTTTTTAAGATTCATTCAGTAAGCTTACTTTTATGTTGATTCTTTTTCTTTAAAGGGTGCCCACTCTATTAACGAAAAACTCGATCGTTCAAATTATATTAACGGGGTAAAATTGTTTGGAACATATTTACAAGAAATAGCACATATAAAAACGGAATAAGATATCTCTTTTTGTTTATTAAACAAGATATAATTTTGTTATTTCATGTAATCGAAATATTTCTTTATATAATACATAATTTATTGTATGATGCAATTCTATTGGTTAAAAATTTATGTTAAAAATCAACTAATAATGATAAGGGCAGTGACATTTATAGCTAATATTTTAGAGTGTGAAGAGGTAGAGCTTGATATTAAGTAGTACAAAATTAAGCATTTTGATTGGATAAAAGATCTTACCTGGGAATGGGAAAGGAGACATCTTTATCAAAATAATATTAAATATATATATTGTTATTCCAGTTTTTTAAATAATATTTATATAGTAGAAGATCTTTAAAACAGATTTACTCTTACAATTGTAAGAGTAATTATGAGTCAAATTAAGTTTATCATTAAAAGAATTAAGTATTATAAGATTTATAAATTCAAGATAGTTTTACTAATAATATTTCTTTTATTATTATACTTTTTATTATTACTATTTCTATTGGCATTCTGTAAATAAATAGATAAAGTATTATTTTTATACAAAATTATTCATTACAAATATTTATAATACTAATTAAAAATATATCAAAAATATGAATAAAAATAAATTAATAAGCTAATAAATATGAATTAATTAATAAAAATATAATATAATATTGTTCAATAAAAATATAGATAATAAAATATATTATAATAATATATCAGTATCATAAATTATATTTTAAAGTTTTATATTATCACCGTTTTACTTGGGTTTCAAATATATTATATCTTCTTACGTGCTTAACATGTGTTTCAAGTTAGGTGGAAGAGATAAGATAAATAACTAAAGATTGGTGACGTGAATTCATTTAATTACTAGTCAGCTAAAAAGTGACTTAAGAAATCTTCTTATAATTTAATGTGTATTTAATAATTATGA